TGGAAAGATTTACAAACATATGCACACATTGAATGTTGGCTGAGCCTTGAATTACGGCTCAGAGTTTTAGATGAAAGGCTGTTTTGAAATGTTATCCTTTCTAACAGCTCTCTTAGTTTCTCTTGAGTTGGTTTGCACAACATGTAGCAAGTGCTCTGCTAATGTTTACAATCCACATCTATTGGGCCTTTTGTGTGATCCTCTAAACCAGGGGGGTCAAACTCAAATACACAGTGGGACAAAATAAAAAAATGGGTACTAGTCGAGGGCCGGACTGGTTCAATGTTTATTGCAGAACGTATTGAAATGAACTTATTGCACATATTAAACCTGGAACTAACAAAGCTTCAATTATTGCCTATAAAAACAACATTAAACATTAAATAATCAGTTGCATTCATTTGTCATGGCTCTATCTGCAGCTTTTCCAGGGTCATTTCTTATGGGTACATTTTCCCACAGGCCAACAACAGCTTCAACAAAACTATTTCCCTCAAAGAGAAAACCAGACATGCCCTGTTGTCGTGAGAGAGAAAGTGCAGAAGGAAACATCCATTAAACTCAGTGTGCTGCTCTGTGATGCTAGTTCAGATACTTGGCATCTCATCTTGGGTGCAAGGTCATCAATGTTTGGGGTCAGGCTCTGAGCTGAGGAGACCCTCAGGATGGAGTGGAGGTGTGCGTGCAATATACCGGCGGGCCAGATCTAATAGGAATTAGAAATTATCCCACGGGCCGAAATTAAATCCACCAAGGGCCTGATTTGGCCCCCGGGCCTTGAGTTTGACACATGTGTTCTAAAAGATGAAAACAGAAAGCTTACCTTTCAGATGAAGGGAAGATGATACTTTTTTTAACACAGGTGGCTCAGCTGCATGTAATGGCACTCTTATAAAAGATCAAACAAGATGCACATATGCCCTATGTAGTATGTTGACGGACAGTTTGAATCATCCTCCCACACAACGTGCAAGTAAGCAACAATCTGTCAAAGTGATAACTAGTTAATCTGAAAGTGACGCAAGCAATGTTCACAACTTCCTGCATGTCAGGAAGTGACCGCTCAGTTCCTCTTTCAGGGTGATGAAACCAAAGCAGTGTTGATGCGAGCGCCTCTCAAACCTCTGTTTTTATCCTCAGCTGGAGGACCTGCGCAGGATGTCTGAGATGAACGGAGCGTCGGCCAGCACGGCCCGAGAGGAGCTGAGAGAATCCTCCCTGAGGATCGACAGCCTCACCGCGCAGCTGGGATCCATGCAGAAGGAGGTGGGCATCTTCTCTTACCGAGCTTTAGATGATCCGATTGGTGTACAATAAGCGGTCGTATGTTCCGTGTAAAACCAGAAGCTAAACCAGTTCTTATACCTTTTTTATTTGGGGAAACGACTGGTTCAAGTTTCAAGGCTTTATATTATATATATATATGTACATATGTGTGTGTGTGTGCGTGTGTGTGTGTGTATATACACGCACACACATATGTACATGTGTATATATGTGTGTGTGTGTGTGTGTGTATATACACGCACACGCACACGCATATGTATATGTGTATATATGTGTGTGTGTGTGTGTGTATATACATACACGCACACGCATATGTATATATGTGTGTGTGTATATACACACACACATATATACACATGTACATATGTGTGTGCGTGTATATACACACACGCACACGCACACACATATGTATATGTGTGTGTGTACACACACACACACACACACAGACAGTAGGAGTTAACAGACACACACAGACACACACAGTAGGAGTTCACCTCTTACTGGCTGCTACACACACACACACACACACACACACACACACACACACACACACACACACACACACACACACACACACACACACACACACACACTAGGAGTTAACTCTTACTGGCTGCCACACACACACACACACACACACGGAACAAATAAACATTGCCTTGACATTGACATTGTGCAAGAGAATATCTGGAGATGTGCAAGAGAATACAAATAAAATAGAAATAGTGCAAGAAGAGTCTATATATAAGTACCGTAAATGGAATATGATATATTAGATAAATAATTAGCAAGATGCAATCTGATGGATGTTCTTTGAAAAGTTCAGGTGTTTAATAGTCTTATGGCTTGTGGAATAAAACTGTGTTCTTTATCTTAATTTATAAAGTGATGGTTGGTACCACCAAGCGTTGTACAATAATTGAAGTAGGGATAAATAAAATAAACTAATTGGAAAATATTGTTTAAAATTGGTTTAAGCAGAAAAACAATGCAAAAGAAGGTAAAAAAAAAAGAGAGAATTTAATGTGGGTGTATCCACCTCGGATGTGTCCACCCGCAATACCTTCATTAAATCGGTCTGTAAATCGCAGCTTCACCAACGCCGATTCTACACGTGTTAATTTGTGTTATTAGACTCTTGTCAAAGGTTGTAGATTACTTTTCTTATTACATTCTGACATTACAATAAGGCTCAGGTTAAGCTGCACTTCCTCAACATTTTAGGTGCTGACTCAGACAGCCCTACCCGTCCTCTAAACTGCCACTTTGAAATCTGTCGCATCTGGATTTTAAGATTAAACCTGTAAAGTTTTTCCAAAGGGCCAAATATTTAACAATCTAGGATATTTTTTCATATCAACTTCCTGTGGACATCGTTTGCTTCATTTGGAGAATATAACTGAAATGAAAACTCCCTCAGTATCTTATTCAGCGAAGCTTCACTTTGCAGGGATCTAAATACTATAACAAATATAATACATTTTAACAAAGTGCACATACAATTTGCTTGTAATTATTTTTAAGTGCTGCAGCCGTCGAGAATTGTATATAAACCGACACTGTTCTCTCACTCACTCTTTAATTCTTTATCAAATTCAGGCATATTGATGCCCAAAATAGACCGACTCTCCACTTCCAGGTGCTCCCAACAACCAGGAAGCTGCCTGTATGTGTGATATATAAAATATGGGAGTCTGGAAGAACAATGACCCAGTGGTCAATGTTGGATTTCTTATTAAAAAAAAATGACTGATAAATAGTTAAATTATGCTTTTTAGTATTTTTTGGACCCTGCATTCGGGTAAATTCTCATCTTATCTCTTGAAGTGACGTGATAAAGCATAGCCTCTGAGACATGGGCATCATCACGCTCAGACTCTGACCCCCCCTCTCTCTCTCCGTGTTTTTATAGACTCGTGGTTGGCGTGACCGGATCGTGGAGCTGGAGGCGGCTCTTTCTCAGGAGAAGGATCGGAGTCGCAGGATGCTGTCAGACCGAGACCGAGAGGTGGCCGAGATCCAGACCAAGATGCAGCAGCAGCTCAACGACTACGAGCAGCTGCTGGACCTCAAACTGGCTCTGGACATGGAGATCAACGCCTACCGAAAACTCCTGGAGGGAGAGGAGGAAAGGTGAGGACATGGAGAGAGAGAGAGAGAGAGAGAGAGACCTGGAGAGAGAGAGAGAGAGAGAGAGACCTGGAGAGAGAGAGAGAGAGAGAGAGAGAGAGACCTGGAGAGAGAGAGAGACCTGGAGAGAGAGAGAGAGAGAGAGAGAGAGACCTGGAGAGAGAGACCTGGAGAGAGAGAGAGACCTGGAGAGAGAGAGAGAGACCTGGAGAGAGAGAGAGAGAGAGAGACCTAGAGAGAGAGAGAGAGAGAGAGAGAGAGAGACCGAGAGAGAGAGAGAGACCGAGAGAGAGAGAGA